TACAAGTTTTTTTCATAACAATATTAAAATTTATTGTATTTTTATTTACTTTTTATAATTTTATAAGAAATTCGTGTCGCCAACATTCAGAAAATAAACATACAGCACTTCGAAAAATAAATAAATAAATAGTAGTATGCATACAAAAAAATCAACTTATGGAACAATCACATTCAATTTTTTGAATCATATATATGAAAGGAAATTAAACTTAAGTATAAGACATGCATGCTATTCTACTTGGAGTTGGTCACTTTTTAATTCATTTTTTTCTGGTTGATTTCTTTTCATTATAATTTTCTCAGAGTGTTCATTTATCTTTTATTTAAACCCATCACATAGACTAAATCATCCCATTGTTGTAACTTACTTAATAATTATTTATAATTTTAAATAAGAAAATCCAATTGAAGAAAACACTCACACACACATATTAAGATCTTAATTATAACAACCATCAAAATTAAAAGATAATAGAAATTATCTGAAATTTCAACTTATTAAATAATTAATAGCCCTTTGCATTACATAAAATTTAGGAATTCAAAAACACTTAAAGTGTGAATAGTTCAGTTTCTCATCATAATTTTTTTTTATTGATCAGCAAAGATATTGTTTTGGGAATCTTACAATTAAAAATACAATATTCTGATCAATTTCTCATAAATTACACTAACTGGAAATAAGCTCTCCCATCCTTCTTGCTCATACCCTCAACGACAATAGATACCTTTCTTGTTTTGAAAAGTACACTTAACTTCTATATAATTATTTTCTGTCAATAAATTAAATTAACCTTTTTATGCAATCTTATTTTTAAAAAATGATAAATCAATTAAATTAAATTAATGGCATATTCTATTAATGAAATCGCAAACTTATGTTTAAACTTGACGTCGATATTTCTATTAGCATTTTAAGGGTAAAAAAAGGGTTACAATGCAAAAGTACCTACCAGGTAGTCACCCAGGAGTATCTAGTAATCTAAAGTGAAAAAAAATAAAAAAAAACTCATAATGTTATTAAAATTAATGTAAAAATGATCAATCTATTACATTCCTTAAATCTTAATTGTTTAGTTAACATTTAAGCAGAAGTTAATCATTTTTTCATTGATATGGATAAAAAATATTATCAAGTGAGATTCTATGGAGGTTGATTGGTTATCATATAAATATGATGTGGGAAAATATCATTTTAATCAAATATTAAGTTAAATTGCCCATTTCTTTGCAATAGTGATCAAAACAATTTGAGAATTTTAAATTTATCATGAATGAAATTGCTTAAAATTGTAATAATGTTCTTAAAGTAGGCGGTGTAGGGGGTATACTTAATCTTGATCTTTGATTGTGTATAACCTCTCTCATTGTGTTGAATCTCAAGTTTTACAAACAAAAAAAAATGAGTGGAGAGGGAGAAAGGAAGGGGGGTGGAATACATTAGCAAAAAAATGAGATTGATGGGATACATCATTGATCAACCTCTTTAGAAATTAATCATGAAATATTTTTTGATTACGTCAACAAAAAAATAGTCAACTTTTATTTAGATATCAGTTAAATAGTCAATATTTAAGAAATTTGATGAATTGGTCATTTTTGCACCAATTTCAATAATGTTATGGATATTTTTGCCTTTTCTCTCACTTAAGGCTACTAAATGCTCTTGCCCAATAATTTTGTAAGTATTTTTGTCCCTTTTTTAGTTCGCATCAGCAAAGACTAACATTAGCAAGCACAGTCAACATTAAACATCGGAAACTGATGGTGTTATGACAAAGTTAATGATTTAATTACTTTTGTACCAACTCTGATAATATTAAGTATTTTTATCTTTTTTTTTTTTACTTTAGGCTATTGGATGTTTCTGACTAGCCACTTGATAGGTATTTTTATATCTTAATCCAAAAAAAAAATTTGTACTGTTGTAGTCTGATAAAAAGTCTGCTATACATATAAAAACATGGGGAAAATATATGTCTTATATGATTCAATAAAAACTTCAAAATACTAATGAAATCTAATGTGTAAAACTAAGATAATATGTTATTACATGCAAGCACTACTACAAAATTATGTGTATTTTTTTTTTCCTGAGCAAAAGAATATATGTAAATTAACCCAACAACCTGGGTATTCTACGTCAATAAAATTCAAAACCGACGGCAAAAATGGTGGCAATTTTCGTAGTTAACCAGAAAGTTTTTTCCAAATCTAGTTTTTACCAATATAAAAGTTCACTTTTCACGACTCTTAATTTTACATCCCTCACAAAGGTGACGTAAAAAAATCTACTATGACTAATGTGTGCGTGTGTATTAAGTCATTCATATAGAAGTGAAGACGAATGTGTAAATAGTAATAAAAACAAAGTATTGTTGAGAGGAGTAATTGCAAGGTGTTTTTGGAGTGCTGTATGATTTAAAATCTTTCATAAAAATAATGGAAACCAAGTGCTGCAAGGTTTTTTTTTTTTTTGGAGTGCTGTATTTTCATACAGTGGACGTGGAATTTTTTTTTAAAAAAAAAATTGTTGTGTGAAGCTTTTTGACCATGAAATAGTTGAGTGAAACTGAAAAAGGTGAAATTAAGGTATTAATTAATGTTTCGTTAGATGCGTTTGGTGAAACACAGTTGGGATGATATGAGGATAAGAGTAATTGACAAATTAACCAAAAAAAAGTATTAAACTACAAAAAGCAGAAAAGGATTCTAAACTTTAAATTCTCAATTTCTCACACTGCATTGAGACATTATACCTCGAGGGTTATTCCCACGTCATATGATGTTCTGGAAATATTTAGGTGAGTCTCTTGTGTAATTTATAAATGGTAGAGCTTTATATAAATTTTATATAATTAAATGATAATTAAAATATCGCTTATAGAATCAGCCATACTTAAGCAGGAATTTACCTAACTATACCATTCAACCAACTTTTGAGGGCCAAGAGATCTCTCGGAGAAATAATGCTCCTGAAATGAGATTTTAGATTCAGACTCATATTTATGAGTAATAAGAGTGTTTTTCTCTAAATATTTATGGGAATATGCGTTTGTGAATAGTTGAAGAACACAATTATTTTTAACCCAAACTTTCAGTTCTGTGCATTATTACCTTTTCGTCCCAATGTTTCCTTAATAACCAACACCCTAATTATGTGCAAGAAAGCTACGCATTGGTCCACTGTTTGCCCGTGATTTTCACCTTTCTTATGATTCAAACCTTTCTCCTTTCTTTCTGAAAAAAAGCAATCAACCTTATCCTAAATTGTTTATCTTAATTTGATTTTTCAAGAAAAGAAAAGCAGAGAGTTGCAAATATATATATATATATATATACACACACACACATAAACTATTTTAGCTGAAGAAATTTCGTCATGGGTTTTAATTAATCTAGCGAATCTGAAATAATATTTATTGCACATCCTTCAATCCCCTAGTTCTTCCCCATGCATTGTAGTAATATCATGAATAAGGGTCAATCAATGTGAATTTTAATATTTAATATTAAAAATATTAAATTTTATAACAAATCACACCATTTTATGAGTCATAACTTTATTTTTTTGATCGAGATTTAAACTCAAGCCCTATATGGTACAAGATAATATATTTTTACTTTTTATATATGGATATGAGAATAGCATTTTATCGTGATCAGTGATTCATTGGCTCGCAAAAACAAAAACAAAAACAAAAACGTTCCATTTTCAACAGTATACTATATATCATTTCATTTTGAGCAATAATTTTCACTTCTTTCAAATTTATCGATTTTCTGTTTTGATTTTCCAAATATATAAATCCTAACTTGATGTTTTGATTCTCTGTTTTCTAGAAACTCGACTCACAGATAGCAGTAGGTCAGGTTCAACATTTTCTAAACAACAGCTTTCTTAAAACCAAACTTATCCGATCATTTTGTAATTGTCATTAAATCAAAATTAAGCATACAATCTTTAAGCAATTTGAAAATTCAACTATTGCATGTATTTTAAGTGGTGAATGGTGATGGCTTGAAACGCTGTGAGACGGAGCTGGATGGCCTATCACCATAACTACTACTATTTTCATAACTCTCCTACACATAAGTTATAATAAGTGTTTATAATTTTATAAGCTCCTAATAAATATTTTTTTAATGAATACTTTTAATTTCCACAGCCTTCGATTTAGAATAAAGTTTTTTCATAAACTCTCCATTAACATTAATTTCTTATCTATTTGAAGCTAGTATAAATGACCCTCATATTATAGCGAATCATGAAGGAGTGATATAATTTTTTATTGAAGTGTTCTCTTTTTTTCCGTTGGCTCCTACGCTACACTAAGATCTCAATGAACAATATTTTTATCACTCACTAAATTACATGATAACTTCTTCAACACACCTCTCACTCACACTTGCTGCCACCCAACACCACATATCCACGACACACGCATGCTACAAATAATTCTCCAAAATCGGTGGCTTCATTCCAGATTTCCCTTACCTTCTTGTAATTATGCCATTCGCGGCCATGCATTTGTTTCCCCATTACCCTAGAGTTTTCTATAGTTTGTAAATTATCAATGAAAAAGAGTCTAGAAATATGAAATAAATCTAGCCATCTAGGATAAATACGTAGTATGAGGGGGAAGAATCCAGAAAGAAAGAGTGGGGGAGCCGGTGTTATCTGAGCACTTTCAATATCCCAAGAGAAAGAGAAACAAATATTCTGGTTCAGGTGTAAAATAAATTAATGAATTACGTCACAGAGTGAAATCCTAATGAGAATTATATAAAATGAAAAGGCCCATTAGATTGAGAATCATACCTAGAACTCATTCATGCAAACTGCAAAGCACTTGCACTTCATTACACCAAATATTATTTCTCGGCTACTACAAACGACTTACAAGCAGCGAGTCATGTCTTGGAGAATTGCATCACCTGGGCAGAGATTTTTTTCAAGTGAACTATTTCACAGACGTTAGACAACAACATGTAGTATTAGCTGAATGATAACTCATAAATTACTTAATGGTGAAGTCTCAATGTATCTTATCTAAGGTTATTTAGCGGAGTTCTTAGCTGCAGTAACATCAGTTCAGGATAGTAAACAAGTGCATGTAGAAATTTAATATAGTACACACATCTACACGACGAGTTTCGTGAGCAGCATAATTGGTAATAAACAACATGAATATACACGTGGGTGAGCTAGAAATAGCATGGAAAGCCAAGGTTTCCTCCATGTGTTTCCATGCAATATCACGTGTCAAGTTGAAGCCTCCGCTTCCAAGCGTATTTTCTTGGCACCTTTCTCTTCACCATGGTTGCCAGTAGTTCCAACCCTGTTTTCCTTGACTTCCATTGAACATCTCTTGTAAGGTTTAAACCCTGTTCGACTAGCCTTCAGCTTTCCTTGTCCAAGCCCTATGGTTAGCAGTATCTCCTCCTCATTGTGTTTTTCAATGAATGACAGATTTTTCTCCGCTCCTCTACAGTCAGAACTGCGTTTCTTGCTGTTGTCTAGTTTATCATCCGTATTATGCTTGTTATCCTCAATTTTCTCCATCTGATGATCCGGATTTGTCAAGTCATGTGGGGGAGAAAAGCTCTGTGGCAACACCTCCCTTGAGAAGAGAGCCTGAAAGGCCAGCCTTCCCTGATAATAACGGTGATACAATGATATGAGAATGGAAAGCAAGAAATGAATTTATTGCATTAAAACTTCTTGGGGATCAGAAACCACAATACCTCTTCAGAGACCTCCTTCCAAGAATCAGGAAGGCAGCTGGCACTTCTAGCACGACGATTTCTGGAATCAATAGCTAATCGGTTTGCATCAGGTTCTTTGTTTTCCTCTTTCCCTTTCTCATCCTTCTCTAGTGCGTCTGTCTCAACCTCGCTGCTAGAGGTGGTATTAGAACCACATGAGGAACGGTCAACCTGTTTTCTGCCTTTCATTTTGTTAGGGTCAAGGTGCTCAGAATTTGCTTTGCTCTTCTCATGATCAGTAGCTTTGATGAAGCATTCATCTTAGCATCTCCCCTTTCCTCTGGCTCTGATGAAGAAATTGCTGGTGACTTAGAAGCTGAATGTTGAGCTTGAAGAGCATCTGCATATTCTGGATCCTGATTTTGCAGGGGAGTCCGAACAGTAGTTTCACCACCTTGCTCTGTTTTGGCTGCCGGTATTTCACCATTGTCCGTTGATGGAACTACTGCAGCTGATGCGGCGGACAAGGAAAAGCAGAATGGAAAGGGGCACACAAAGGAAGAAGTCCATGGGCTGCCCACCATGCAGTTGCAGCAGCCACAGTAGCAGCTGCAATAGCTGCCATATTTGGAGGAGAGCCAATTTGCCTAGATGGAAAGGCTCCTTGCAAGCATGCTGGAGAATCTGCAGAAGCTTCTACATTTGCATAGGGCCAAAACGTAGCAGCAAAACTTGCTGCAGCATGTGCTGCAGGGTTTTGAAGCAGGGTGGAGACAATAAGGCTTGAAAATGTGGAGGACATTTGAAGAAATGATTGGTAGTGATCTTGATTCTGGTGAATTTGTGGGAATGGGGGAGGATAAGCAGGAAATGATTGATGAATTGAAGATTGTGTTGAGTTATTTTGACTTCCACTTGCATTTGATGCAGCTGCATTTGCGAAAATATTAGGTTGCCCGTTAACCCCACCCATGGGCTGAAACATGGATTCTGGAAACAACATACCCTGGGAAGGATTTTGAGTACCTGTTCCAATTTTCCCATCAAGAACGTGCACATGGACATGTCTAGGGTAGTTATGATTTCCTTGCATCCCTTCTATTGTCAAAGCACAATTGAGATAATCTGTTTTCTTACTCTGAACCGATTTTGCATGTGAAGCATCAGAATCTTCCAACTTGGAAGCTTTACCTGTGCCATTACTCTGTTCTGTGCGTTTCCCTTCAGCACCTATTTCCAACTTCTGATTTTCTTTTAGCTCAGTGGTGACAAAAGATTCATCTGTTTCATCCCGGCTTATCAATTCTTTTGCTGAGGGTATGAACTCCCTTAAGGTGCATGGACTTCTCAGTGGCACTGACATTGAATTCTTGTCTGCTGATGTAACTAAGGAACAGGGTGCCTCCTGGCAAATGGCAAATATTTTAGAGCACTTATCGTCCTTATTTTCTTTTACAGTGATTTGACTTATATATACAGTATGTTTTTAATAAAACAGGAACAATTATTTATTGTTCTGAAAGGTAAAATCATCAGAGATCGAGAAAGATTAAAAAGAAATATTAACCTCTGGATGTGGTTCCTTCTCCAGGTCCAGTGCTGGTTTGCAGTGTGAAGATGAAACCGGCACAAGTTTTCCATTCTTTCCTCCACCATGTGATGTCTGGGCACAAGCACTAGTCTTCCGAGGATAAGGATTGTTTGGTTTTCTTTTGGGGCGTGGAGGAGGTATGTCTATGTCAATAGATTGTCCGATTGGAACACCTTTTACAAGGGCCTCTTTCTCCAACTGGAAGTGAAAATAAATAGTAATAGTATTCTCAGCAAATGAAATTTCAAAAGCACTAATAGGACCGTTTGTGCATTAGCTGTTATGTGTGTTTTAAAATGACTTCTTTTGAATTATAAATAGTCAGATTAACACTGACATTTCAATGCATTCTTTAGCTGAATGGACGATAAACTAGGTATACGGTTTTTTTAATCAAAAACTACCTTACATGAAAGTCAAACGAATGAAAACATTTTGAAACCTTCTCCACTCAAGTTTGGAAAAAAATCAACTGATTTGTAGTCAAGGATCATCCATACGAGTTGGAGGACTGAAAACTGATAGATGTTTAATGAAAAAAGTTGCACAACAATGTTGCTGTAGACTACAATGAGTAGGAAGCTATTGCCGTCAAGTTATTAATGCCAGAAGCTACATTGAATAATCACTATAAAAGAGTAGGGGTCAAAGAACAGTCCCCAGAACTTCATCATTCATGACCATATGATCTAATAAGGTTTGCAGAAACTGCTTGCCACTGTTGAGACAGCACAGAAATTGCTAAGAGATTTGAGAGGAATCTAACTTGTACCCAAGTTTGTACATCTTAGAAAGTAAGCATAAATATCTACTGAATCTTGACCTTTTCACAGAAACTATTATTGCAAGTTTAAGAATTTACTCAGTTTTCTGATCAGGAAAAAAAAAAAAATATATATATATATATATTCTTGCTATCCTTATTAGATCATACCAAGTTGCTGTGAATTTATGTTCTCTCTGTACTTTAAGCTAAAACAGTTTTCATGCAAAGGGATGTGTTTATGAGATATATATATATAGAGAGAACAATTCCAAGACCTTCTAAAATCTTAAACCTTTGAGACAGTCAGTTGTAAAATATATCTGATTACATGTCATAGCCCAAGATGAACCGCTATAGAAATACTATCTCCTTCTGATGTTCCTTATTGCATTTCAATCTAATGCATCCTTCTTTCACATGCTTAACTTGAAGACCAATATAGAAAGTAACTACCTAAAAGACTGTTCTGGCGAGCCCCGCAGTCAACTCATCAAAATTATTTTTATTTACAAGTTCTATCATCTTCATTCAGCCATTTCTCTCTTATGTAACCCAATGCTGCATACTTCCGTGTAAAGGTCTGATTCTATTGTGCAGAATATGTGGACTATAGCAATTCCTCCCTGCTAAACTTCAATTCATCCCCGATCCAATTAATTCATTATATAAGATGAATTGACTCTTCATTTTCTCCCTTTCCCTTCATTTTCTCCCTATAAACATGCAACAATGACTCTTCTTCTTCTTCTTTTTCCCTTGGGGTGAGGGTTAAAATGACAAGTTGACAAAAAGTACCAAAACAGGCACACTTCATTTATATAAGATGAATTCCATATAGTCAGCTCGCAGTTTTCTTTGAGGTGACACATTCAGAGACAGTATCCAGATACTAGAAATTTCCCTCACATCAGAATCCCATAACTTCAATATGAGACTCAAATCTCATACTTAGCATCTGGGATCTAACAAATCTGCAGCAACATTTCGCCACATTACAGGTTTTATGCATGATTAATTCTTTCAGACATTTTTCACATATAACTTTCAATAAAAAAGTTTAGAAAGATTCCTTTTGTGGATGGATTTTATAGATTCTAGACCTGATATATTTCTACCATTGATTATAACCTCAACTTTATTTAATCAATGCAATAAAGAAGTTAACAAAGATTCCTGTTTTGTGAATGGATTTCATAGATTCTAGACTTGATACATCTCTGTTATTGATTATTGATTATTACATCAACTCTACATGTTCAATGCCAGCAACAGATTATTCTGTTGAATAGAAATTTAAGGAAAGTTGAATATGCTTTACTTTCAACTCCTCTGTTCTCAAGCAATGAAACAAATCCAAAAGTCCTTCAATGAATTCATTTATTTTGTCAGGAAAAAATCCCAACTTTCTAAATCACTCGTGATTCTTCAAATGGAAGTGATAGAGGAAAGTTGCATATCAGCCGGAGCCATTCACACAAAAAATAACTAGATGGCATCTTCTTTTAGCAGTATAAACCCTGGTTTTAATGTTTTTCATGGGTGACAGGTAAGCCCATTAGAATCATAACTTATTTATTAGGCTCCAAGCTGACCTATTAAAATTCCTATTAGGCTGTTTGCATATTAATTCCATTTGATCTCATGTAAGATCAACCATGAAAGGCCGCATTCAGAGTTGCAATGGTACATCATAAGTGTATACACAGACCTCTACACTCATCAGAATTATGGTAAAAATGGATTTAAATTTTTTTTCCTACCTATTATAGCTTTGGCACACAATAATATTCTACAGATCCAAGATGGCATGCATACGAGCACCACCAAACAAAAAATGGGGGGCTGGTTTGACCAAGCAATCAAATAGACTACTTGGCCAAACCAGCCCCCCTTGATTAAAGTGGGAAAATTATTAAAGCATTTTGCCACTTGTTCAGCTTTAACTGGCAATAAACTTTATACATTTAACTTAAAGCTCCTTAATCCTGTTATAAAGAATCTACATTCTTCCATAATTAAATTTCAGCATCTGTCAATATGGAGAATGAGAGTAAACATTAACTTATTTGCTCCCGTATTCTTAATAACAGAAGCCTTCTCAGCACTCAAATTTCAGCAACAAGTGAAATGACTTCCTTGAATGCTTTAATGTCTTTCTGTATGCTTCAATTCTGCCAAAGCAACTAGCCTAACTGTTATATTTATTAATTTAGTACTATGATTGATCTTTTTATTTTAACATCAATTAAGGTTACTTGTAGAAAGAGGGGATGGGATTATGATCTCAAGGCCTACTCTGAGAGGAGATGAGGTTGAACTGAATTAATGAAATTCTGTTTGCACTTTTTGCTTCTTATAAAACAATGTTTGTTTCTGAACATCTTGATCACAACTGTGGATTCAATTTAAGCAATCGACCCTAACTTTTTTCAAAACTGAAGACGCCTAAATAACAGTTAAGTCAACACATTTTTAACCCTAGATTGATCCCCAATTCTATATAGTTAAAGCCTTAAGCATAGCACATAAACCATATGTCAAAAAATGTAGGGCCTGTGGCTGAGATCTATTGTTACATAAGCTAATAAGGTGAAGCCCGCTTTAGTAGTCTCAGTAGTTGACTTGCTGAATGTGAGCCACAATTGCAGCATCAACAAGAATCTCAGTCTATTAACAAATTAGTCTACTTAACAAGTGCTCCAATTCGGTCACTCAAACTTCTGTTTGTTTCATTTACTCATCAGAACCCTTATAGTAATCAAGCAGCAAAGTAATCAGAGCCCTGATCCTCTTCATCTAAGCCAACAACATACACGTATAGACGAGTCAGTGCTCTTTTGTTTCTCATTGTATTTAATAACAGTAAGATCTGAGTTAATATGGTTATGTGCTTGACTAAAGGCTTATGATACAATTCCACTCTCTTCATTTGACAGGTTTATCTTCCAGTAGTGGTCATTTGATTCTGGACTGTGATCAAATCACAGCTAGCGAACAATCCTCTAAACTCCTTAATTAAACTTCAAATTATTTTATTCAACCTAATCCTGCTGCCTGGCATGCCAGCATCCAAGTCCCTGAACTCCAACCATCCTTTTGGGTGCCAAAGATTATCTTTCATGACCATAAGTCAATATTCAGACCATATGACTTAGGAGCCTCAAAGCCTTGGAAGATATTATTTATTATTTTTTTTTTTTTAATGTGAATTGATAAACTTTCATTCAAAATATGAACAAAATACAACTAAAAAGAAATCAGAATAAGCAAGAAACTTTCATCAATCACTGCCTTCCAAAATAGTGGGGGGTGGTCATTTATTAATTTGGAAGCCAACCATATTTCTCACTAATCTAACTGTCACTCTACTGATGTGTCACTGGATTTCAATGTAGGGAAATTTCTTCTAGTTCACTTGAAGCATAGTCAAATTACAAAAACCTCCCATGACATCACAATGCTGTTAAGTCTTGTTAAAGAGTTACTGGAACTTTGCATCAGGTTCTCTAGTTTGAAACATTTTATTAAAAAAAGAATAATTTAGGTATTTAAACAGATTAGAAATTTTTTATTTTTACTATTATACTATCCTTCAGGGTGTGTTATGTTTTCAGGGGAAATATATTGTACAGTAAAATTAACAGCATTATATGGAAGGGAAGTTTCTATAATGCAACAATAACAAGAAGAAGCCTTATCCTACTAGGTGGGATTGGCTACATGGATTATATGACACTATTATATTCTATCATTTATTAAGCATTTAGAAATATTGTTAATTAAAAGGTCTCGCTCAACAACTTTCAAAAGTGTTCTCTTTAGCTTTCTTCTACCCTTCTTGACAAGGCTCAAAATTATCTGTTCCACTCTTCTCACAGGTGCCTCCTTTGATCTTCTTTGTATATGTCCAAACCATCTCAAACAATTTTCTACCATTTTTCCTTCAATAGGAGCGACGTCCAACTTTTCCAGTATTCACTCATTTTAAATTTGTCTTTACATGTATATCTGAACATCTATCTCAACATTCTCATCTTTGCTACTCTAACTTTATTCTCTTGCTATCCCATTAAAGCCTAACATTTACTACCATATCATATTGCTGCTCTTATAGCAATTTGATAAAACAAGGGAAGTTTCTATAATGTGGCAACAAATTAAGGGAGCCAAATTTAACTGTATAATCAAAGGAGGATGCTACTACTACAACAAACCTTATCTCACTAGGTGAGGTCAGTTACATGGATTGCATGATGCCATTATGCTCTATCATTTACCAGCCTTTTAGGAATGTTATTAACTACTAACATGTACCATATGTCTTGGCAATAAATGCTCTCGAATTGGGTGACTAAAATCATCTTTAACTACCACTACATAATATAGAGACCTCGTTACATATTTGCCTTAACTGCTTTCTTGCCCTCAAAAATTGACCTAGAAGGGATCAAACAAACGGCACAACTACTATAGAAGTCTTCAATTATTGTTCCAATAATCTCACATGACAACTAAATGAAATACATGCAAGAGAAATGTTACTTGCACTACCTTCTCTCAAACATTTCCAAAAACTTCCAAGTAAGTCTATTTTGCTAGTTTTCCTAGAAAGATGGAAAGTTGATATTTTAAAATCCCACATTATATTTCCTCCATGTTAAGTAGTAATCTTTCTAGAAACTACAAAAATCAATCCCAAAGTTTCAGAGCTTAATTTGGCCAACACAACACGCATCTCCATGGATGGACAAAATAGTTATCATCCTTACAATGATGGGACCCAATCTACCTTTTTTCAAATAGTATACATGTCGCATGCCACTGACCTCTATTAGACCTATAAATGATGGCACCACAATTGGACACGGATTTTAATTAACTTTCAAAGGTGATTCTTGTAGATCTATGAGAATATATCTGAGCAAACGACCATTTTAAATCACAAATACTGAATTATTACAATAAATCCCATAGCTGCTAAAAACTCAGAGACAAACCCATCTATGCTTCTATCACTAATTAGAATGACACAAGATTTTGATATCACCTTGGACATGTGCTAGAACCAAAACCCTACAGTCCTCATTAGTCCTTACACCAAAACTATCACTGGACAAACTCTGCAGTTTGATGTTTTCAAAGCTAGCAAAAACCCTCATTTAATTACTTAACCAACATGAAATCAGAGATATGAGCATCTATCAAGCAGATCCTAGTAATAAAAGATTTATCTTCACAAGAGAAGGACTGGTTTTAAAATTGATATATAGTACCACCAAATGATTCCTAATTCAGGTTATTCTGATTATATCTGTAAATTGGCAGCTTTGATTATAAATTATGCCAACGGTACATTGTTATCTGAATCATAATAGCAACAAGAACGGAGGAAAACAAGGGAAGATGAATAATCACCAAATTACTATTGAGATACACTCAAATGCAATGACTGAAAACCTCTGACAGATACTAAGCTTTGTGTAGGTGACTAAAACAGCCCTAATCCCACTGGCATGAGTAGTCCAATTTTAGGACTCAAGATATCATCCTTCAAGTAGGAAAAAGAGAAACATAGTTCAACGTATTTATAAAATTTTCCAAGAGCCAAATACCTAAACCCTAAATTCCCAGAGAAGTCAAAATTAAATCTACATCTAAAATTACAAATACACCAATACATAATACAATAGTTGCAAAAACTTTTCATTCGTTTATCTTCATCAACTAACACCAGAATATAAAAATAAAATAAAAAAGTTGTCTATCTCTCCATTCCTTTCTGTTTTCTAAGTTGCATTTATCAAGGTCAACTAGTAAAAGTTTAACGTTCCCAGCCCGTTGCTTGAAGTATCATCATCTAACAATCTAGCAAGCCTCTTTAATAAGTTTCCGTGATTGTCTCAAAAGAAGATTCAAGGTTTTACTTTAGAAGTGCCACTGTTTCCACAGCAATTGAATTTCAACAATACAGATCTCCATTTTGTTAGAATTATTTATATCTGAATTTTGAGATTTCACTGTAGTTTCAAGCCGACCGATCCAGATACATTTTTATTTTTGGTACAGCTCAATGGACACTTCCATTGGTTGAAGTGAATCAAATAATTCAACAGCAGATAAGGAGAAAGCATGAGATCGATCAAGGAACCAAACTTTTAACATATTAGCCAAGATGAGGAAGTACGCATTGACCTTTGAAAAGAACTTCTGTGCATGGCTCCTGATTTGCACAGCAGTCTTTGTTCCTATATGCTCTGCACGGCAAAAAGTATTACACCAAAAAGGGAGGAAGGGGGAATACAATTTAAATTAACAGTACATAAAGAAAGATAAAATTTCCCGACAGAAGATTTCAAAGGAACAAATCAGTACAACTTATAAGTCGACAGCTCTAATCAAATTTCTCCATATGAAGAAACAAACAAAAGGATAAATATGCATAATGTTACCTTCTATGCGCTGCCATGCTCTTCCATAGAGCTTTAGCGCTTCTAGGAACTTATCATGCTCCTCCTCTGTCCATCGTTCTCTTTGCTTTGTGATTGTATATGGTTTTCTTGTCTGCAAGCGCCAGCAATCTACTTAGACAGTATCATAATTTTCTAATCCTCTAGCAGCAAATTATTGCAGCTTCCGAATGCATTAAACTCACTCCATCTATAAGAATTATCAAGAACTATTTATCCCAATTAATGTATAACTCTAAATATCCTTACCTTAACGACCACTTCTTCTCCAGAAGAAGTATTAAACTCGCTCCATCTATAAGAATTGTCAAGAACTATTTATCCCAATCATCGATGTATATCTCTAAATAACCTTACCTTAACGACTACTTCTTCTCCAGAAGAGTATGCGTCCATTACAGGGCCTGTGCAGCTGGCGCTGCTTCAGATCTTCCCTGACCAGCAGTGGATAAAAGGAACACCTCCTTTCTTCTTTTGTGACATGGAACACAGTAAATAGTAAAGCCGTGGTGAATGTAATAAGAAGCTGATAAGGCGATGCTACTGCAAAAGAAACAAAGGAAGAAGAATAGGTAGAGATCCGTCTCTGTTTCGTATCAGAAGCAATAAGCATTCAAGTTCACATGCACCCAGGAAAAAGATACATATTATGTAAATAATCAGACAATATTAAAATTTTAAGAATCCACCGCAATAAGAAGACGCTTGTCCGAAAGAATAAAAGAAAGTTCCTTAATCAGAATCCTCACCAAAACGAACTCGACAGCGCCAAAACCTTTAAAACCCGGAAAACAAAGAGAGGTGAAACACAATTAGTATCCAACAACTATCTTTGTCCTCACTTCATAATACCGTCACCGTAAATAATTATATGGTGACTAGAATATCAGCCCTCGTGTTTGGTTGCCGAGAAAATGTAACCACAAAGCAACTCAAAATAAATCATTCAAATTTGAAGAATTGAGTAAATGATATATTTCTTTACTAAATCCAGGTTACAGTGAATAATAAGGACCAAATTGTTGAAACAAAATAGTTATGCAGCTTCTTTCTCGGGAACCAAAAGGGAGGTAAAAAGGGCGAATGAAGGAGGACAAAGAGGGAAAATAAGAGAAAAAGGAAAGTTACCTCTAAACAAAGCCATGGTGATTAAGAGGACTATGAGTCTGGGTGATGAGTACGATCATACATATGAATTCAGCCGGACACTGGCCGGGGAACCCATTTCAGGCAATGGCGAATCAGAATCTGACGGCGACTTCGAATCGGAGAAAGATAGCAGTAGCAGAATCAGGAGAAGCAGGAGAAGAGTTCCGAGTAAAGGAGCTGAACCAAACCAGAAACCAGAAACAAACTCCAAACCAAACAGGCAAACAAGCAGCTTCCGAGAGTGCGGAGAAATCTCAGCCACTATAATTTCTTGTGGATTTATTTTTATATTTTGGTGTCATAAATATTAGGGGCTGTTCTTCGTTGAGGCAACCAAGGCTCCTGAGATGGTGCCAGGTGGCGATAATTTAGTGGCTGGGATGGTAGCGCCTACCTTTGCACTTTTCCCTTATTTTTTTCCAGCACTTTCTTTTTTTTTTAATTCAATAATTTTTTTAAAATTTATTTTATCTTCAAATCTCATCCACAAGCTGGGCAAACGAGGGCAGAGTCCGTAAAAGCGTCGCCAGCTGTAAGAGGGTGGGCCCCCCCGATTACGTGGCGAAACGGCACCGCCTGTATCCGGTCAGCTAGCGCCCGCAGCCTGGGAGTTAGTGGTCTAAGATTTGGCCACCTCGGCGACAGGCACTCGGGAGACCGGCACGTAGCGTTATGTTTGAAGGTACTGGGCGCACCGCACGGGGCCCTTTATTAGGGGCTTTCTCCATATAATTTATATATTTTTTAATTAAAACAATTTCAAGAAGTAACAACACAATTCTCCAAAAAGTAGGGTCTAATTGAAAGCCTGTTTTGAGAATAATTTTTTATTTTTTAAAATAAGAAAATAAAAAAATTTGTTTGATAACATACTTTTAAAAAGTTTTTTAAAGAATAAAAAATAAAATATTGTTTTGAAAAATAAAGAAATGAAAACAACTTTTAAATGTTCTATAATTATTGTTCTAGAGGACAAGTAAGAATAAAAAAACACCTATTTTTATTATTTTTATTCTCAAAACATGTTTTACAAAACACCAATTCTCAGAACAATAAAATAAAAACAGCTTCAAACAGCCCCGTAGTTTTTCTCGAATAAGCTTTCTTATGGGTTGTATTAATTACTCCGTTTTCCTTGTAATTCAAAAAAAAAAGTAATCTTTCAAAATATTTTATATATTTATTAAGTATTTTATATAAGTGTCTTAATAATTTTAATATATTTTTAAAAAATATTAAATAAAATATAAGTATAGTTAAGAAATGATTATAAAAACTGCTCAATATTTTATATTTTGATTAAATATAGTTTTTAAGAGATGTTATATATCATGATTTAAATAAAATATATATATATAATAAAAAATAATATTCACAATTTATTAAAGGTTTAAGACTTAGCTAAAACTGGAGGCACAAGAAAATTATTGTTTTCAATTATTCCTATAGTAGGTAAGACTTATTAAATGTTAACATTCGAAAAATCTATATCTGGGAAAATAAGCCAACAAGTAGATTGAAAAAATGCCTTCCTCTAAACAAGTTATCATTTTGTCAACCTAACATGTCATATTTTAATGAGTTGGGCCCGTTGGTGCAACCTATATTATCACCTTTTAGATTCAGAGAATTCAACATCTCTCAATCTGATTCTAATCTAACCACCTATCATTGACATGATAAAATAATAGATTGGCCTCTAACCTCTATGTTTTATATTTCTTTAGTTACTGGGTTTGTATGCGTACTCATCATTTAGATTTATTGTACTTCTTTCCCCTCTAAACTTATAGTTTATGTTTGGTATAAAGGAATGAGATAATGAGGCTGAAATTGTGATTAAATAGTCCTATTTTTTAATGTTTGGTATGAAGTAATGTACAATCCAATGTTAGTACCAATCCCACCTTTTATAGAATTACCTAATACCACCTCCCTCATGATATTACAAAATCAATCCAAAGATTAATTTTTTCAAGATAAAAATGACCTCCGACCTCACCAGTCATTCATTAGTCATCCCCCTCTCTTTTGATAAGCATCGGTCATGCCCTCTTGATGCGCCATTCCCTTCTTCGTTCTTACCATGCCTCCATCTTCTTCTATCTCTGGTTTAATGTCTTGGTCAAATCTTTAAGCCTTCTTAAACTCCATTTCCTTGTCTTCATCTTCAAACCCAAGTCAACGGTGCCAAAGGGAGTTCAAGAGTCGACCAAATTCCATCATTATTTTCCTTAGTTTGAGAGTTGGTAGATTCCATTATCATCTTGCTCAATTTGATTCAGATTAATTTGAATCATGTCTTAGAACATCAGATGGTCTAATTTAAAAATAACCACCCTCTTAGTCAAATCTTCAAGCCTTCTTGAACTCTATTTCCTTGTCTTCATCTTCGAACCCAAGCCAACAACATTAGCGTTGGCAAGAGTTTGAGAGTCAGCCAAATTCGATCATCATCTTCCTCAGTTAGAAAGCCCATATTTGATTTGAGTTTGTTATGTTTAAGAGTCCAGATCTCATGGCCGCTGAAGAACTAGGTCTACTCCATCGCTTCCAAGTCGTTAGACAACTTCCAAGTCATCTTCAAACCCAGGTTTGCTCCGTCAATTCTAAGTCATCAGGTAACTTGCATTGTTTTCTTCATCAAGATTGACACTAGTGAGGTGCAGACAAAGCGAGATCGAGGAAGGTGATCGTGGGGGGGATGGGCATCTCGCTATGTAGAAAATGGGCTTTCAAGCTACAATTTTTTTTATTAATTTAAGGGTGTTATAGTCTTTTAATAATGTATGTTTAATTGTAAGATAAGTATTACATGCAATTATTATTTTATACCAAACATAATTTTAAAGCACCAACTCCAATCTCAATCTCAATCCCTCTAATTTCAAGTGCTTATACTAAATAGGGCCATAAAATTACCAATAATTTCTTCATCAACACTAATTTCTGGCCTCTTGGTCAAGAATTTTATATTTAGCTTAAAACTCCTTTTCTTTATTTATAAGTTTGATTTTTTTCAAAAAAAAAAAAAACTGTACTCATTGTTTTATCATATGTATAATACTTCCTCTTATCCTTTTTACAGGGTAGAGAGAAAAGGATTTTTTTTGTTATATTTATAAGTCATATAATTAAACTTTCATCACAAATTACCTCTTTTACCCTCCATTAAATATTGAAGAGAAAAAATATGTTATTGAAATATATATATATATATATATATTTAATAGGAGCAAAGTTGATGACTTGTTAAATTTTAAGACAAAGTTAATAAATTTTAATGTTTTTCTTAGTATTAGTGAAATATGTTAAAAGTGATTTATAAATACAACTAAAGGAGTACTAGTACATACTTGATGTGTGGTTTTTCAAAAAAAAAAAAGAACCTTTTTTTGTTTTTTGAAGCGCTGTTGGCTGGGCACTTGGGTTTTTGTGTGAAGTATTTGTTTCTTGAGGTGTTAAGGAACAGATGTTTGTTAGAGTACCGCTATAATTGTTAGGGCGCATGGTTTGTTGTTGTGCGGTGAAGTTTAGCTGGCTCAGGTAATTTGTAAAATACCACTTGATGTTGATGAGGCCAATTAGTATTTAGTTGCAGAGCGCACTTGATGAGGTATGAAATGCCACTTGCGTGTACTGAATCTTGTCATTTATATCTACGTCCACGTTGATAGAGATTTGATCCTCTTTGTGTGGTTTACCAGCAGAAGAGAAAGGGACAAAAAGATGAAGGTTCCAACTATTCATAAATACTAAATTTTGACATTTAATATTAAAATTTAATTGCTTTTTATTCCGTCACTCAATATGGCTTATCAAAACTAATTTAAATCTCCATTGTATGAAAATGTGATTGTGTATCTTAAGACTTAAATTTAATATATTAAAATAAATTAATTTAACTCATTTGATCAGTTGAAACAAACGCTCATTGATATTAAAATTCAAATTTTAAATAAGTTTTGAAAATATTTAATATTTTTATTTAAAACCCAGTTGTAATTTCTTTTTGAAAAAAAATATTCTCGTAGGTAAGTAGAGTATTCTTTTTCTAAGTTTACCTCAGTAGCTTTTTTAAAAGAATCACGTGCCTTTTTCTTTTTCTTTTTCTTCTTTGTTACAATTTGATCCTTCACATTCTTGCTGATTGAAAATAGTTAATTTGTAATATTCACAAGGTTGAATTTTAGCCGATGAAACAGTAAAAGGTCATTTCAAGGTCTTTTTTAAAATTTTTGGCATTTGGGTTGACCAATCTCTGTCTGTTGTTATTTTTTTAGAACAAATTGATTTCGGTGCTGTGAATATTTTCCAAGGCCCATCACAAGGTCTGCGGGCTATAGCTTTCCAGCCCATGGGCTTTTAAAGTTCAATCTCAGCAAGTGATACTGTGTTGTGAGGCCCGTTAATATGCCATAGTCCATAAATTTACTTGTTGTTTTTGTGCGACAACGATGGATGAACGTCTATTCATCGATGGGTTGGTATGGCGGCCTGGCACCCTAATATTAGGTGAATCAGGGAGAGGAAGGGCTTCATAAACCGATTGTTGATATTGGAAAATAAAAATTAAAGAATTTAAAATATTAAAAAAAATATAAGGATAAAAAATAAACACATGAGTAAATACATAAATTAAAAGTTATATTTACCCAATTATAATTAAATAAGACTTTCTAATTGATAAATAAAAGTACATATAGAAAGGGTGTGCATTTTTAGAGACAATTATTATAATTCTAATAGAATACTAGTTTTATAGTAATATTCTTTTGGTTCTATTTACAATAAATATAAAATATTAATTTTGATTTTATTTATAAAGTATTTCATTATTTTTTACATTCAGTTTTACGTTCTTGTCCTTGTCATGGATTAAAGATAAAAATTTATTAAATTTTAAAATAAAATTAATGAAATTTAAATTTTTTTTTATAAATTATATTTTAATTGAGTTATAAAAATTAAATAAGATAAGAGAGAGTATGTCCTTTGATGAAATAAATAACATGGGATCAAAATATGGTATGTGCACAGTAGAATAATCATTAGTCACACCGAACATGTACGACTATAGAGGCCAAGATTTCGTTAATTTGGCTACGCGTGCATCTAGAAAACGCGTTTTGCTTTTTAGCTCTTTTGGAAAGCAAGGTCAAGTGATGCCGGCCATATATATGTTCCTTTTTCCGAGAGAGTAGAAAACAACATTGCACTTACTTCTTGTATTGATTCTTAATTTGTTTTCAAGGAACAATTGAATTTGACATCGACATTTTATTACATATGTAGTCTTTTAGCAAAGTATTTCCATTATTTCGTCAAATTTAAAATGTAGTCAGAAATACAGGAATCTTTCCTTTTCAATTTTTTCTCTTATCTCTGTTACGTTTTTTTTTTTTTGTGCCGTGCACGTAATTTCCTCACAATTTCTTAAATTCTTCCCCCACTTCAGACTCTTACTGGTGAGCTCTTCATTTTTTGAATTTTGAGTAGTGTGTGAATAATTTTTGTCAGCTTTAAAATTTAACAACAACCCACTCTTGATACTAAAATTCAATGTCTAAATCTGCAGATACGGCATATTGATGATAAATTTCTTAAACTTTCTCTTTTTTTTTGTATTAATAATTGTTTTGAATTTGAACTGCTTCATGTTCCATAAGTAAAAAGAAAAACTAATTAAAGATACTGAGACATAACTAAGAAATGATAAACTAATATTAGCTGAATATATATGGAAAACTTATATAAGGAGCATTATGTACATATTTGTACAGATTAATAATTGAGGGTTACAATTTTAGGGGAAAAACACAAAAATTGGAATATTTATTGGATCAAAACAGCGTCGACCTTTCAAAATGGGAAAAAATGAACTTTTAGTAAAGTCGAGAGATATGAAATGCAAATTCCATGAATGTGGAGTCAAACATAATAATAGAGTCATGCTCATTTGGTCTGAGACGTTCGGTTCAGCTTTCCCCCACTCTCTTTCTCTCCTACTTCCTAAATTAAATTGTCTTTATTTTCCGCCAAACCACCGCCGATCTTTTGCCTTTTTAATTTTTTTCATGATTATTTATTACTGTGCCCAGAGCTAAATAACTCATTTATAGACATCAAAAGTTGACTTAATTATTTATTAAAAAATATATATTAATTTTTCTAAAATACCTGCATGAATCATTTGCATTGGAAATTACCGCACAGAAACCTCGTCCTTTAATATGTACAATCAATATGAATAACGTACACACACACACACACATATATATATAATTTTTCATTAAACAATATAATTTTTTAAAACAAAGTGAATTAAGGGAAGCCACCAAAAAATGAAAAGGAGAAGGGGCGCGCGAAGTGGGTGACCACATAGTGAGGGAGAGAAGGCGGCAAGGCGCAACCAACACCCACTCTCCTTGCACAAAAGTAAGTACGTACTAAATTTGAAAACTCTTTATTGCTTGATTTTTTTTTTTTTTTAATTAACAAAACATCGCTATAAAATGCATGTTCTCGTCCCATCATCTTCGTCAACCACCCAAACATACTCTGTATGATCACTGTTTCTCTTCTCTTTCCCTTACTTTGAAAGCAAAATCCCAAATGGCTCCTCCCTTGAAGTCCGATTCCATCCTTACCAATGGCGAGTCCAACCATCTCAGGCAACCACACGCAGGGCACGTGCGAGAGGATGAAGAAAGCTTTGTCTCCGCCATGCAACTCGTGACTTCCTCTGTTCTCTCCATGTCCCTGCAAGCCGCCATTGAGCTCGGCGTCTTTGACGCCATCGCCGGAGCCGGTGAGGACGCAAAGCTCTCCGCAAAGGACATCGCCGCTGTGGTATCTTGCACGAACCCAGAAGCCCCATCGATGCTTGATCGTCTCCTCAGTCTCCTGGCCAGCCACTCCGTGCTTCATTGCTCCATCGCCGACAATCAACGAGGAACAAAACAGAGGATTTACAGTCTTTCCCCTGTTTCTAAATACTTCGTGTCAGATGCTAATGGTGTCTCTCTAAGACATCTTATGTCCTTGGTCCAAGACAAAGTCTTCCTTGAAAGCTGGTAATTAATAAGGTTTTGATCTTTGATATCATTATGAATTATAATTAGTGGGTGATTAAGAGAATAATGATGAGATTAAAATGACAGGAGGGAGCTGAAGGGAGCGATTAAGGAAGGAGGGATAGCATTCAACAGGGTGCATAGGATGCATGCGTTTGAGTATCCGAGTAAGGATGCTAGGTTCAACGATGCTTTCAACAAGGGAATGCATGATTCGACCATCCTGATAATGAGCAACATGCTTAAATGCTACGATGGATTTGAAGGACTCGACACGGTCGTAGATGTTGGAGGTGGTCTTGGGATCAACCTTAGTTTGATCACTTCCAAGTACCCTCATATTCAGGGCATCAATTTTGATCTGCCTCATGTCATCCAGAACGCCCCCACCTGCCCTCGTATGTTATAATTTGTTAACTATCTTTTAAAGTATGTTACGAGTTAAAAAAGAAAAGAAGATTTATCTTAAAAGACCAACCGGTTGCTTGTTAGAAAGGAAGCTTTTCATACTTATAAAACTTCACTTATTCTGTGAGGCTCTCAATATAAAACTCGTATGTTTTCCTTTATTTTTGATTAATTTGTTTCGAATGTTGTTCTAGGTGTGGAACATGTAGGAGGAGATATGTTTGAGAGTGTTCCTCAAGGACATGCCATTTTTATGAAGGTGAGTTCGAGCTTTTCTCAAGGAACTATCATTCCAAGTGAATTCTCGTCTTCATGCTTCAGATATCAGAGTTGGACAACAAAAAAAATCTTTGCTTCTTTCACAAATAACTTTAGAAAATTAAAAATCAAGCCATAACTTCACCTCACACACCTTAAATGTGGATTAAAATCCCCTTTTTCTAACTCTTGTCGGAAAGAAATTTAGAAAATTTTAAACTAAATAGTTGTGAAGAGATTTTATACATAATTGTTATCATTTTAATATATTTTTTGTAAATTTTGTTTTAATTATATTTTCTCAATTAGCAGCTAAATTATCATTTTATCATCATATTGTTCATTCTATTTGTATGAAATGTAATAAAAAAATAAAACAAAAATTAGAATATGTTCATCTTTAAATGATGGTGATTTTGCTGAAAAACAAATTATTTTTTTTTTTATTGCCACAATTATCTAAATTTGATTTGATGGGTACTTTAAGGGTGAGCAGATAACTTGCAACCCGCTGAACCCACCTACGTCAAGACTAAATGGGCGGGCTAAAACCTACTCATTAATATAAAAAAGGCGTAGGATGATTTTACTGGCCAGCCTGTTTTTAATGCAAACAGATAGGATGGGTTACAAGTTACCCCTCGAGCCACCCATCCTAGCCCATTCTCTCTCATACACTGCGCATCACTGCTCTATTAAAAAATCATCTCTCGCTTCAAGTCCTGACCTCATTATTGATAACTCTCATTTCTCAACCTGTCTCTCACTCATTCACTTTGTATCTCTGCTTCTGCTTCTTCAATCCTCAATGAAAACCCTCGTCGCCTCTTGTCTCGTGAGCGGAAGTTGTTGTCGCTGTTTCTTATTCACTCACACATGACCTCCGACTCACTTCCCATGTTGACTCATCATCATTACAGGTTCATGCACGGCCCATCGTTGCCTCTGAATCGCTTATTCACCTTCCCTCTTCTCTTTTCATCTCATCTTAAGCTTGTAGATCTGATTTGCTTTAGATCTGGTGCTCGTTACTTGTGGTTGGATGCCATTTGTTCTAATGATATAGGGTTTGATTTAATGTTGATGGATGAAATTGATAGATTTGGAGGGCTTGATTTAATTCCCCGTTTACCACAGTTTTTTCGGTTGTAAATGTACAATATATGTTTTGATGGGAGTGAAGACGACGATTATTTTCACTACAAGTTATTCACAATAATTTTTTTTTTAATGGATTTCTCATTGGATGAAAATAAAGTATTTTGAATTTCCCCTCTAGTGCCAACTTAACGTGAATGGTGAGAGATGATGAAAGAGATAATAAGTCATGTCCCATAAGGTTTTGTGCACACTGCACACCTTAATTAGATAGACGCATTATAAAGAATTTTAAGCCTGACTGATTTGTTGGCAAACACCATTGTAGTGGATACTGCATGATTGGAGCGATGAACATTGCGCGAAGCTGTTGAAGACTTGCTACAAGGCCATTCCAGAAGATGGGAAAGTGATTATTGTGGACGCGATTCTACCAGATGAACCAAACACTAGCGTTGCTGTCAAAACTGCTCTTCAAGGCGACGTCCTCATGATGACCCAAAATCCTGGAGGCAAAGAACGAACCCAACACGAGTTCCTCCACTTGGCTGCCAAATCCGGGTTTGCTAGGATCCAATTTGTCTGTCGGGTTTGCGGCTTTTGGGTCATGGAGCTCCGCAAGTAAATAACATGTTGCTCGAGAAAATAATGTATCCATTCAACGTACTGTCACTTCTCTTATAACTTACATGCACGGCTTCTTCTTCTTCTTCTTCTTCTTTTTTGGGTGCTATTGCGTTAGTGGAAAATGAAGCCAAAATGTTGAAAGGCGTTAGGTTAATGGTTTACCTTTGGAATTTTCTTCCGACCGAGCAGTGTGTTTCATGAATTACTACTTGTTGCTCCAAGAAGTCAATAAATTAATTATACGTGTCTTCAATTTAAATTATTCAAAAAATTCATCATTTTCATTTTCATTAATGAGACAAAAAATGAGTGCATCTTTATTTCAATTAACAACGATGTTTTAGTCTGTATTTTTTATTTTTAGACATAATTATTATAATTAATCAATTTTCTTTTACAGTTATTTTCTTGTATGAATGAAATCGGAGGGGCTACCAAAACAAAAAAGGCTGCAGTTATTTTTATTATACAAATTACATTACAGAAACCTAATTACGATGACAAAATGAAGCATATGGTTATACATTGATCTCAACAAGTTAGCCACGTTAATTTTAGTGGAATACTTACACGTCTAGCTGCTGCTCCCAATTATTTCATAATACGTTTCTTTTATCTTTTGTAGCAAAGCTTCCCTGCAATACCATGTACTCAACAGGTTTAATTAGTGGCATAACTCATATAATAATATTCAAATAAGGTAACATGCTTTAAAACGTTGATATATTAATGAAAATTTCATGTGCATTTTGATTGAACCACAATGTGATGGATTATTGATCAAGATATAACTCGTGATTACCTGTCTGGCTTGTAAATTAGGTTCTTATATGCAAACCACTGTAATCAGTACAGATAGGAAAGATGCAGTTAGATTTCAAGAGACAAAATTACAATAGCTTGTATAGAAAAAAAAATCTATGGAATAATTTTATCGTTCAAAGAAAAAAAAAGGAAATAAACGTGTAGCCTTTTTTTTGTATTTTCTTGTAATTTATCACGTGTTTTAGTTACATTTTTTAAATCTAGTTTAATTTGATTTCAATTTTCTGGTCTCTACCAGGTTTCATTATATTTGCATATATATATTTAAATTGTATTCATCTCTAATTTATTCTCTTGACTTTATCTCAAGTTTTTCCCTGATACCTAGCTACTTTTTTGAATTTGTTTTGGATTGAGCTTAATATTTTTTTAAAAAAAAAACTTGTCTATTTTTTCTCCTTTCATTTTTTGTTATATTTTCATTTGTATATGAGCAAGTGACTTGAAACAAGAATTATTTAAAGTTTTGATTCCACATGTCTCATTCCTCCATAAACTAAATTAATTATTACACAATATAAACGTATTTTTTTTTTCATTTTTTCTTTCTTTGGTGCTTCTCTGCCTAGCTCTATATTTAATTTGTTGTCCAGTAATCATGTCTCTTAACTTATACGAAATCTAAATATTTAAAATCTTTTCAATTTGGTGGTGTCAGGTAAAAATATATCGGACTATCTTTTTAAATTTTCTGAGCAATTTTTTTTTTTTAAAAGTACAATTTTTCAAAAACCGACATATTATTGATCTTTAAAAACCGACATATTATTGATCTTTCCTACCCCAGTGTAGCCGATGCCAGCGATCTCAAGAACCCCAGGAATCAAAGGAAGCCTGTCAATTGCCTGCAATTATATTCAAGTGAAAGAATTTGTGCCCAGTTAATAGTAATAAAAGCTAATTAATAAGTTATATAATTAGTTTGATGATAACTTTACATCAAATATAACAGCCATGGGTAGAGCGAACCTACTGAGATCACACCAGTTGAGCCCCACAGTACAACCACAACAGCCACACCCAGCGTACTCACTGCATATTTATCTTCGATCTTCTCCCACTATTCATTCATCATTGATTAACTCAAATATATCACATTATGTATGTTAGGAAGGGGACGGAAAGAATACAAATACATCATGTCTTGACTCAAAATCCACATGCATGTACCACGTCACTTCAAATTTCACATTAATGTCAAACTCTTACAGTTTCTTGAACCGTCTTCAAAAATTCTGGCGGCTCAGTCGTGGCCACGTCGGAAGCCTCTCCTGTCGCCATCGCCATAACATTCCGAGCAAGTTTGCGACCTGTAATCATCATCAAGGATCAGAAACACTATGTTTCATCACTTCAAATTCTTGATCAGTGTCACGTAAATAGAAGGGTTGTGGGGTCGATGGAGTTATAATTACGGTAAGCAGTGGGCTTCCATGAACGGTTCTGATGAGAAGGAAGTGAGCTTGGAGGAGAAGGAGGAGCGGGGAGGCTCACGCATTGTGGAGAAGAAGGAGCTGAGCGTCTGGGAGTTTTGAGATCAACAATGGTGATCGAAGAAGATGATAAAGCGAGACTGGGTGAGGAGGTTGAAGCCATTATTGCTGGCCTTGGAGGTTATGATTTTACAGTGATGTACTAGCTAGGACACGACTATTTATGGCAGCCTTTCAGTTTTGGATTTTTTGATCATTATATTGATGATATAGTTCATGTGTCTCTTAATTTTTCAGGGTTTATTATTATTAGGTGGAAGAGGGGTGTGAATGGGATAATTTGAAAATGGGAATTTGGAGATTACAGCCACTCATTTCTGAGCTGACAAGGGCACAAAGCTACGCGACAAGGCTTACATGGTATCTTCTTGGATAAAATGTGCCACGTTGGACGCTTTCATCACCATGTAAAATAGGAAAGTCTCAAAATATTAAATTAATGACAGTAAAATCCTAACAATTTAAAAAAAAAAAAAGTTAAAAATATCTATCTAAAAAATTATAAATTCAAAAATTTCAATTATAAGTAAGTATTTAAATATTAAATGTAACTCTTAAATTATAAAAAAAATTTTGTTTGTAACTATTTGAACTAATATTTATAATGTATTTAGAAAAATTGTTGGGAACTTGACTATCATTCTCCCTATAAAATACATGCTCTTTTTCCGGGATCACCTTAACATATGTGCATATAATCTTTTCCAATCTTTTTATTTTTGGGATTGACATAAAATTTTTGATTGCCCATAAGTATGTTTTTAATTGAAAGCAATTATATTTGAAACATGTTCAAGTATTAAATATGTGCACCTCTTTTAGTGAGAATTCGAATCTTAATTTATCATGTTGTGAGAGACTAACACTGTTGCTAGGCTCAACCCCTTGTTGATTGGATTAACATAAATTAAAATTAGTGTGAGTTATTGGATTAGTAGGACTCACCAAGCCAAAAAAACATTTACAGATATTTTAGATCTTTCACTAGCAAAGTTTTTTAATTGATGTCAAAATTCGATCCCAAAATCTTCTAGAGAATATCACATTTTCTAACACTCCGTCTTGGTTTTCATCATGGCAATATGAGGTAAAAGGTGACGTAATATGTAAAATTAAATGAAGAAAGAAACAATGATTTTATAAAGGAACAGTATGTTTTAATTGTGTCTTTAGATTTAATAAAGATATTGAAAATGTATATATTTAAAACAAAAAAATTTACAATGTGAATAAAAAGGGTTAAAAAAATACTCTTCTGATCCTATTTATAGGGCAAAAAAAGAATGTTTATTTTAGTCCTATTTATAAAGCACATCAATCATTATTATATTTATCTTTATTTTTGCCCTATTAAATGTAGGAAAATTTATTAAACATTAGAGAATTTTATTTTAAAGTAGGTATATTTAATAAGGATAAGTTAAAAACTTGTTGAATTTTTAGACAGAGTTAATGAGGTTTAATATTTTTCTTGATTCCAGTGAAAATGCTAGAAATGATTTATAAATAGAGTTAAAAGGAGTATCCATTAATGGATAAATGGATGTTTTTTAGATAACATATATATGTTTTTTTTTTAACCAGTATAACATATATATGCTTGAAGAGAAATATTTTAACCTGGCATATGTGACCTAATGATCAACTATTGAATAGATAAAGGTAAAATCTTAAAAGTAAAAAGGAGGTGTGTGTTTTACAATTATTGATTATAGAAGAGGTGCATATAATTTTAAAAAGAGGAGAGTGGTGTCTATGATTGAACTAAAACAGAGGAGAGATGTGAATGTATTTTACTCTTCAAAAAATATTGAGAATGTATAAACTAACATAACTTCGTATGTTTTGTCCCAGAAGAAAACATTTCTTTTGGGGGGGGGGGAGATTGTTTTAAACAGGTTAATGATAAATAATAACAGGTTGACGTTACTGTTTTTGTAGTGGAACGTTTTGGTGATCTCACAACCAGAAGATGACACATAATTTAAGATATATGAATCTGAAGCATAACATTAACCAACAAATTTGAAGTCATAAGGGTTGGGATGAGGATAATCCATTGAGTCATGAAGATGACATTTGTACGGAAGCCTTTGGGCCAAGACAATTGGATGACAGTTTTTTTCGCCCAAAACAAGCCCATGGCAAGATGAAAGAAGATAAATTAAAATAACCAAATAAAGGCTCAAATTTTGACCTTCGCTTCACATACAACTTTTTTCCCCGGTTGAATTTAAGTGATTTTAATATTTATATTATATTATATTATATTTTAAAGCTGGTCGTGTTGTTGGTGTGGGGGGGGGGGAATCCTGTAGAGAAAGTTAGGAATTAGGATAAAGAGGAGAGTGATTTAAAAAATAAATAAAAGTAGAGCAAATTATATTTTGGATAAATGTGTATTTTTACCCTTGAAGTATTTTTCAAAGAACACCCAACATCACGTTTTTGTTAGAGTAATTTTGTCCCTAAAGTTATTAAAAATGAAGCATTTTTGCCTATTTCATCAAATTTTCTAACAGTCAATATTTAAAGTCAGCGTTGAAATTTTAATAAAAAGGGCAAAAATATTCCATTTTAATAATTTTAAAGGCAAAATTGTTTAAATAAAAATATTCAAGTGTTGGGTGCTTCTCAAAAAATACTTTAAAGATTAAAATGCATCTTAATTCTTACATTTTTGTGCATGTATGACGCAGTAAGCTAGAATATATTTCACTTTTTATGTCCCTGGCTTTGGTACGCTTCAGCAAGAAAGCATTTATCTTTCGTGTAAATGGGCAAGGATATTCGGATTCAAAATTTTATATTTGAAGTAAATACTACTTACCTATATGTATGTATATATATATATATATATATTCAAAAAGAGAAGGAGGAAGCAGCAGTCTATTAAAAAAACGACTAAGGAAATGATAATAAGTAATAACAAGTACTCTCTTTTATTTCTATTATAGGGCATATTTTGGAGCTAATTTAATCATTTTTTAATGAATTATTAATTATGTATAGGTACTTGTCAAAATCCAAATGCAAGATTATTTATGCATCCATAAAACCTTAAGGGTGATTAGGCTTTTTCAACAAAAAATTTATTTTCAGATAGGCATTTGAGAGTGTAGTCAAATTTTAGATTTTTGAGATTCTCCTTGATATAAAAAATTCTTCAGGAATGTTTAGATGATAATCTTCTGAAAATTAAATATCAGCCATGCATGTTGAGGAGGAGAGAAAATTCAGAAGGAAAAACCGAAAAAGAGAGTTGGGTCAATCGCCTGATGATTTCGAGTCTTTTCTCGCTCCAACCATCAATATTCCATTCGGAATATTCAGCCAGAAAACGTCACTGGAAAAAGAAAAAAAAAATCATTGAATAATTTATGAATCGTTTTGATTTCACATCAAATTATCTGAACTGGATTTCAGAAACCTGTGATCTGAATCCTATATCTACATGACGATACAGGCGTTATTTATTTATTTTAATCCTTTGTGTGTCCTTGCCCAAACTTGTTATGGATTTGTCCTAATCTTGCCAAGACTTGTTACATGGTACTTGTTTGAGATTGGCAACACTTGTCTAGACATTACTAACATGCGCCACAAGCTTGTCAGGGATTTGTCAACACTTATTATAAGCATCAATCCAGCAAATTGCAAGGAAAAAACTTTTCTTGGCATGATACCCAACTTAACCTGTCCATTTTAAGATCATGATTAGAATTTCTATTTTTATATAAAAATTCATTACTTCTCAAAAATATAATCATGTTATAAACAAATAAAAATATAGAAGAAAAGATAAATATTAGAAGGAGAGAATATTCAGAAAGTGATAGAAGAGATAATTTTCATTTCAATGTGTTGAATATAATTGAGGTACCTCATATTTAGCGGCACAGATGTAAACAAGGAACATGTGATTTGTAAATTACTAGTTCACAATAACATGTGATTTGATTGTACCAATATGTGTGCAGTACAATTCAAAAGAGAATGCGTGTAATCTTTTCAATACACATTCTTCATTTCAGATACTTTTCATGATATAAAGATATTCAATATCCTTATCATTCACCATCTTAATGTGATATCTATCTTTTTGAATGTCTTGAAAGCTTAATAATAAATTCTCATGAGATTTAAAGGAATATAATACATTATTAATATGTAAATTCATTTCTTTTGATAATATCATACTAGCTCTTGCAGAGTCTTCAGTTAATTTTGTACTACCAGATACAATACTAATATAAGATTCTTTCATTACTAAATTTAAAAATATCTTATATCATTGAGAATTATATGTATCATAGCACTATCCACAAGACATATATTTGCATGGTTAGTGTTAGTGCCGACCATAAAAATAGCCAATTCAATGATGTTAGAAGCAGAACAATCATACTAATAACGGTGTTATAAATTAAAGAAAGATATAGAATAAGAGAAGAATATTCAAAGAGTGAAGGAAGAGATAATTCTCATTTCAATGTATTGAATATAATTGAAGCACATTCTATTCATAGGCATAGATGTAACTGACTAAAATAAATAAAATATATAAAATATTAATAACTGAAAAATATTGGAGTAACAAAAGGATACCAAAATGACTGAAAAATATGGACATCCACATAATATTTTAAATATTCATAAAAGATCAAATATAATTAATTTTAAAATAATGGAGATTATTTAGTACTTTTACAACTTAACGTCATTTAAAACAAGGATCAAAATCGGCCAAAGTCTCTTCTCTGAATTTCGCTGAACTGGAGAACATTACAGCCGTAAATTAAATCAAGCGTGAGGAAACATTGTGCTTTAGAGTTTTTTTATTTAATCCCTGACATGTCCTTTGCTGTGAGCATTTTTAGAAGGACTGCTCATTGTGTTGACAGTGATAGCACACTTGAACGGCTCTCTGCCTCTGCCGCCCTTCTCATCCTAATATGCTTGTCTGGTGAATTATTCAAAATTTGTTGGGGCAGAATCTAATAATAATAATGACTTCCACATGGTTTGATTTATTTTATTTGCCTCATGATGATGGGAGAATACAGATTTCTGCATATATATATATATATATATATAAGATTTTGATATGAATTTTAGAGTTGGTCAATGCCTAAACTCCACTTAGTGTTGGAT